AAAAAAAAAAAAAAAAAAAAAAAAAAAAAAAAAAAAAAAAAAAAAAAAAAAACGATGATCCCGACGATCTAAAGTTTCCATATTTGTGCATGTTTTATTCGCACGACAACGTTACGCCAAGTCACCACTCGTTACCTTGCTGGTACTTTCGCCAAAAAAGTTCGGAAACATCGTTATTTTGAATAGTTATAAAATAACCAGATTTAGTTACGGTAAATATTTTAACCAAATATTGTTGGATAATGAACCCACCATTTGTTAATCTTTATCAACACACGATTTTCCCAACACATTACATTTTTTTTAATTACTGAAAAACAATTTTACGTTTCCGAACTTTCTTGGTCGCGTGTATAATAACCAACAATCTCCCAGGGCCGCTGATTCATGTGCACTTTTCTCTGACGCAGGACAGAAAAGACCCATTGTTTAACTAGAGACATATCTGTGAAAACGTGTGAATCAAACGTGAAGAATCAATCTGTGGCCCTGGTAGAGGGTAATCATTATTGTAGTACCATTTAACAAAGGCCACGGCGGCGAACTTGAAGGTCTTACGAGAAAAGAGCACGTTGAAAGGCATAAGGGGCAGGTATCTTTACTGAAATAAACCAAACCTGTATCTGACGACCACGCAGTCTCAGGCCTACCCAACTACCAGACTCGGCACCGAATGATCCTGAATTCACCGGTAGATCAGACCACACTACCCGTTTTCAAGGTGTGTGTCAGATCGCATTACACAGTATCAGACGCGACACCGCTCTTGCCTAGTACGCGATGTGATAGCGACGATTCTCAGCGGGGTTTAAAAGCATTGCATCACCACTCAAAATTTGTTCAGGGTACGGTTAGTGTGGTCTGATCTACAGGTGAATTCAGGATCATTCGGTGCCGAGTCTGGTAGTTGGGTAGGCCTGAGTCTTAAACATGCCACGTTTCTAGTTCCCAATGCTTTATTCTAAAGGTATCGACAGAACGATTAACATTTGTTTGAAACAGTATTTTGCGCTATCAGTTCTCCCCTTATGCCTTGAAGGGTTGACATTGTTGGCCAGTGAACCCACAATTTTTAAAGCTCCCGTCACACAAAAATCTGTACAGTGTAGCTATAATTCAAACTATATTCAACGGTTTGAAACAGTACAACTGGACTAGTTAAATCGCGCCGAAATTGGAAATGGAAGTGTAATACTTATACAGTGTACCTACTGTCTGTTATGCTCTTTTTATTTCGACCTCCAACCGCTTACTACAAATATTTACATGTCAGTAAATAGGAATTTAAATGGGAGATTCCACAGCATTTCCCCTTTTTTGTCTGCTTCTTGTAAATATACCCCTGGTACGTCTTCAACTGACGATACTTTTTCTACTAACGAATTTCAAATAGTTTTCATTTCCAGAGGACGTGATAAGGTGAAGTAATGGAGGAAGCAAAATGTTGTGGGGGAAACACTGGGGAATGGCCAAACCATTTTTATGCATGCACGCGTCACATTACGTCTTATAAAATTATTTACAAATAAGTGAAATATTAAATCCCTGACACTGATACATTGAAACGTTAAACCGAATTGGTTGAAACATAAATATTCGTATACTTAGTTTCCAGATCGCCTCGCATCCACTCCCTCAGGCCTGATCACGTAAGGTGTAACAACTCTTCCCAGAGTAGGTTCAATTTGCTTTATGGGGTAGGTTTATGGCTCTGAAGTTTGGGCACCATACTTTGTCAAAAACTCAAGTAAAGACAGCTACTTCCTAATTTGTGACAAACTTTCCATTGAAACCTTACATCTCAAGGCCTGCAAAACTATCCTAGGTGTTAACCGAAAATCTCCCTCACATGCTGTCCGCGGAGAACTGGGCAGCTTCCCAATACTGACCACTGCCTACACACTGGCCCTCAAATACTGGCACAGCCTCCAATATAAAAAGCACCATGACATCACCTCCTTAGTTACTCATGCACTTAACGAAAATGAAAATTTAAACAGACTTAACACCTCAACCTGGTCAACCGGCATTAAAAATACACTGGCGCTCATTGGACGCCCTGACATTTGGGAGGACCCTTTTAAAATATCCATGACCGCACTCTCTTCCATAATAAAACCGCTTATCCAAATCTCTTATAGTTCGGCCTTTAAAGCTCACCTAGCATCCCTGAACACGGAGGGTAAAAAATTACGTACCTACAGTACCTTCAAAAAAGATTTTAAAAGAGAAATATACACACAGTTAATCCACAAACCCAAATCTACATTGCAAATTCAGGATAAGTGCCCACAATTTGGCAATTGAAAAGGGGAGACACATGAATCCTAAAATACCCATAGAGAAAAGGCTATGCACGGTGTGCAACATGGGGTCAGTTGAAGATGAGTTCCATTTTATGATGATATGCCCCTCTTATGCTCCACTAAGAGCCATATTCCTTAACCAGGTTAAAGATATACTGGGCAGTGCAGCCCCTGAGTCCATCAGTGACCTTTTTATTACCGTACTGCAATGTAATGATTTTGATATTGCAAAATGCACAACTAATTTTCTTTATGATTGTTTTAAAGCTAGGGATATGAAAATTGCATCCATGCTGAATAAAACCTAGATTAACTGACGATGCAGTTTTCATATCCCCCTAAATAATAGTTAGTTTAATATAAGGTTTAGTGTAGCCTATTCTAGTTGAATCAGTTTTTTT